TCTAAAGGTCAGAGATGCTGCGGGCATGGATCGTGGTCCCACTCTCCCTGGTTGTCCTTGTCTATGCCAACATCTTTGCCACCATCATGAAGATCCGCTCAGTCCAGGGGCGGATCAAGGCCTTTTCCACCTGTGCCTCCCACATCACGGTGGTCACCATGTTTGCCATTCCATGCATCATCATGTATATGGGCCCTGGCTCTGGCTCCTTATCAAACAGCGGCAAGAAAATGGCCCTTTTCTATAACATTGCCACAGCCTTCCTCAACCCTGTCATCTACAGTCTAAGGAACAAGGATGTGAAGAAGGCCTTTTTCAAATTGATGGGATGGAGCAGGGCCCCAGAGTAAGAATTTAAAGCCAAAGACCTGGGGAGCTGAACAGAGCATGACTTGCAATCAACAACACTCTGAGGACTCTTCCCTGGACCTAGAAGAGCTGGACTCTATAAAGATATAGTAACTCTTCACCCTTGCCCAGGTGGGAGAGGAAAATGGTGCTCAGACATCTGCAGTATCTATGATGATGCTGTTTGAGACAGAGATAATTGTGAAGGTAGAGTGCAGTGCTTAAGAGCCTGGACTTTAGTGCCAGACATACCCGGATGAGAGGCTCAATTTTACTATTAGTAAATACATGAATTTTTCCAAGTCATTTAACTACTATAGGTGTGTCATTCTTTCTTACAGGGAAGCCATAATGATTAAATGAGACAGTATATAAATATATGCTTAGTACAGAGTCTGGCATACAGTAACCTTTCAACAAATGTTAGTTTTAATTTTTTAAATTTATTACTCAGGGATGGACCACTAATCAGTCATCACACATGATCCTCCTGGGCTGTGGAAGCGACTGGAGCTCTAGAGAGTAAAGGAGAAAGAAGGGAAAGTAGAAGAATTAGAAACTCAAAAACTGAAAAGTGGAGAACCTTAGGGTGAGAAAGAAACTTGAGGAGGAGAAAATGAGCTTGTATTTACCCACCTACAAATAGTGCCAGTCAGAGCACCTGAGGTTGATGAAATTATCTTAGGGAAGGACTGTTTTGTAACAGTGTTTTGTGTCTGTGCTTTTTTAAAAAAAATTTATACCTCTTGATTTTCCTTTTCCTCTTGTTCTTAATAAAGTCCATGTTGGAACACTACAGCCTGTTTTGGGCGATTTCAAGGAAAAGTGACCTTGTCCACCTAAGGATGAGAAAAATGAGGAAAATCAGAAGGGGAAGAGTGGGCATAGTGTTACCACCAGATGCAGAACTGAAGGAGTCTGGAGAGAGGTAAAAACTCAATGGAAAGGTTTAGCTCTATTTTCTCTTGCTTATTAATAGAAAGGCCTCCCCCCACCAAACTCTGATTATTCTCTACAAACTCCATGAGAAGCCAGGGTCCATGCCAAGGGTATGAGTTCCCAAAGTTCTGGGAAAGTACTACCCTACCCACACATCCAGGAGCCACAGTGTTGCATAAATAATAAAGCAAAAGTGAAAGGTGGGTGACAAACAGGGCATATAATTACAACATTCTTATAGGCACATCGTTAACATCATTAACATAGAAAAAGCTCTTTTGAATTGGCAAGAAAAATAAAAAGACTTCAGAAAATTGGCAACAGATATGAACAGTTCACCAAAAAGAAAATCCAAATAATTAATAAGTATATAGGAAAATCCTGCCACAGTAGGCATCAAGAAATGTAAATTAAAATTTCAATTTCCCTTTTTTACCTTAGAAATTGCCAAAGAGTTTTTAAACAGAAGTGTCAGAGGCAACCAGAATACACTGAGAAATTGACTTGTAAGATTACTAGTGGGAAATAAATTAATTTTTTGTAAAATGACTTGGCTTTATGTATCAAGAACATTAAATATTTTCATTCCCTTCAATCCAATAATTTCACTTTTAGGACAACTTTGGAAATAGGATATCAGAAGCTTGGGGAAAGTATCACAATGATTTTATTGTGTTACTTATAATAAGAAACAATTGGAACCAATTGAAAACATTTCCATAATAGTGAGCCCTTTAAATATATTCCGATATGGCCACATAATGGTATACTATGTAGCCATTGAAAATGTATTTTATAAGAATATTTAATAATGTAAATGCTCACAACTTGATTTTAAGTGAATTAAAGCAGGAAATATCTGGTGAGCAACAGGGTGTGATCACACCATTAACAGTTGTAAATACCTTTTCACCCTTGTAATCAGACATCAAAGTTTATGGCAGGAGGAGGGAGCCACTAAGTCAACACTTCTCTGACAACACACATCCACATATTCACTCCAACTATGAACCTTAATAATAAACCTTATTGATTCATTATTAATAATAATGAATCAATATTGCTACATCAATTATGAGAAACTTACCATACTAGTGGAAGATGTTAATAATAGGGGAAGCTATGTATGAGAAGAGGGAAAAGAGATATATTAGAACTCTGTACTTTTAGTGCTGTTTTTCTGCAAACTTAACACTGCTCTAAAAACAATAGTTAATCAACTTAAAGAGATCAAATGAAAATGCATGATATCAGAAGTGAATAATTTATTTTATTGGCTTATCAGCAGAAGACTACAGCCAAGGAAAGAATCAACACACTCCAAGATAGGTCAACAAAAATCATCCACTAAAACACTAAGGGGAAAAAAGAGTGAACAAAAAGAACAGAACATTCAAGATAGGTGGGACAATCCATTGGTCTAACATATGTAATTGGAGTCAGAAAAGGAAAAGTGAGAAAAAAACAGGTTTGAAAAAAATATTTGAAGAAGTGAAAACTGGGAATGCTCCAAAATTAATAAAATAATAAAACCACAGATCCAAGAAGCTCAGAGAACCCTAGGCAGAATAAACAGATGAAAAACACACTGAGGCGCATTATAATTAAAATGGTGAAAACTTCATGGAAAAGGTATCTTGATGGCAGCCAAAGAAAAAAGAAACATTACTTACAGAGTAGTGAAGAATGACAGCAGACAGATCATCAAAATTATGCAAGCCAGAAGACAATAGAGCTCCATCTTTAAAGTGATGTAATAGAGAAAAACAAAAACAAAACCCCAAACCTTGGTAATCCAGAATCCTATATACAACAAAAATATATTTCAAAACTGAAAGTAAAAAAACTTCTTCAGAAAAAAAACAGCTGAGCCCTTATGTCAGCAGAACTATACTATGAGAAATGTCATAGGAAGTTCTTCAGTAGAAGGCATATGTATGAAACAAGATTGAAGTTTGGATCTGCACAATAAATGAATATCCTTGGAAATATAAAATACTTCTTATTTTTAATCTCTCAGATGAAACTAAGTGACTGACTGAAGCAAAAATTGTAACAATGTATTGTATAATAGGTAGAAGTACAATCTATGACCCAATGCATGACAGAGGATAGGAAGGAAAAAATAACAGTATATAGTGTAAGAATATGACTATATACATGAAGTGGAATGACATTACTTGAGGGAGACTGTGATGAACTAAAGGTGTACATTGTAAACCTTAGCACAACCACTAAAAGAAAAAAGGTGTTGCTAATATTGGAGATAAAATGCAGTCATAAATATGCTCAATAGAAAAAGATGCAGAATTGCTTCTGAGCCTTTTGGCTAAGGTCAACTGTAACAGGAGGCAGAAAAAGAGGCAATAAAGGAAAGAGAACAGTTGAGACAAATAGAGAATAATTAGCAATATGGTGAATTTCAACCAAATTGTATCAATAATAGCACTATAGGAGAATGAACTAAACACTCCAATTAAAGGCAGAAATCGTTAGATTGGATTTTTTTTAAAAAGCAAGGTATCTAAAATAAACCCACTTAAAACATAATTGGCACCAGACTTCAAACTATACTACAAGGATATAGTCATTAAAACAGCTTTTTACTGGCAAAAGAACAGGGACATTGACCAGTGGAACAGAACAGAGAACCCAGATATAAAACCACTCCTCATATAGCCCAACTAATCTTCGACAAAGCAGACAAAACATACACTGGGGGAAAGAATCCTTATTCAATAAATGGTGCTGGGAAAACTGCATAGCCACATGTAGAAGACTGAAACAAGACCCACACCATTCACCTCTCACAAAAATCAACTCACACTAGGTAACACACTTGAACCTTAGGTGTGAACTATTCAAAAGATCAGAGAGGGATGTTGGAAATGACTCTTCTAGGACATTGGCCTACCGGCAAAGAAGTTTATGAAGAAGACCCCAAAGGCCAATCACAACACAACAAAAATAAAGCAAATGGTACGCTAATGAAATTAAAAAGCTTCTAAGCGCAGCCAGAAACGTCAAGAGAGCAAACAGACAACCCACAAGAATGGAGAAAAACATTTTGCAATCTACACATGTGATAAACGCGCCTGAAGACAAATTCTATTTAGAATCAGTAAAATCAGCAAGAAAAAATCAAACAACCCTATCAAAAAATGGGAGCAAAGGCATACAGAAATTTCTCAAAAGAAGAGCAGAAATGGCAACACTGCATGATGAAAAATGTCATTACATTCCTAATCATCAGGAGAAATGCAAATCAAAACTGCCAATGAGATATCACTTAACTCAGGAGAAAGGCCTTTACAAATAGTTCCCAAACCATCAAATGTTCGCATGGATGCAGAGGAGAGTAACACTCCTACACCTGCTGGTGGGACTGAAAACTAGTTCGACCTCCTGTGGAAAGCATAATGGAGATACCTCAAAACGTGAAAAGTAGATCTACCATTTGATCCAGCAATTCCACTTACTGGCATTCTACCAAAAGATCAAAAGGTCACTTTATGAAAAGGACACCTGCACTCTGAATGTTTATAGCGCACCAATTCACGAATTGCACAAGCTGTAGAACAACCCAATGCCCCATCTAATCATGAAGTGATTATAAATGTGGTATATATAATACCATGGAATACTACATCTCAGCTTTAAGAAAACATGTGAATGTACGCACTCTTGTATATTCCCTGGATTAAGCTGGAACCATTCACTAAAGTGAAGTATCTCAAGAATGGAAAAACCAGCACCACAACGTACTCCACCAGCAAAATGGGATTAACTGGATCAGGACACCTAAGGTGGAAACATATAGAGTAGATTGTAGTCGGCTGTGTGGCGAGGGTGGGAAGAGGCAGGAGGGGATGGTATATACAAACACAACTGAGTAAGGATGTGAAACGTGTTTGGGGGGGATGGACATGCTTGAAGCTCTGTACTCAAGGGCGGGAGGGGGCATGTGCAAGATACAGTACACCTTAAACACTTGCTACCCCCCGATCAATATCGTTAACAATTTTTAAAATGGTAAAATTAAACAACGTAAAAAACAATAAGTGCTAAAAGTTAAAGAATTAAACATCATGTAAGCACTTAATCAAAAGGAAAACTGGGAAGTGCTTTATAATATTAGACATAGCTGACTTCAAGACAAGGGCATTAGGAGAAAGAACATTGTGTCATGATGAAGAGGTCCAGTTTCAAGAAGACATAGCAGTTCGTAACCTTTCATGCACCTGAAAGAGCGTTTGGGATGCATAAAGCAAAATGATACCATTAAAGAGAAATAAAAGTGTCTACAATTATTGCAGGAGATACAACACTGCTTCTTAGGAATCACTAAACAAAGAGACAAAGATCCATAAGGACGAGAAGAACTGAACGACAATCTAACTGGCATTTATACAAACTCAACAACAGAACAACATTTTACCCTCAGGTCACTCAATAGTAAATGCCAAGCCTGGACTTCAAATCACAAAATTGAACATGAACCACGAATTCCACTGAAATGGAAATTATACATTGAACCCAGGGCTGAGTGCAACTTCATTAAGCAACAGCTCAGACTTCCTGTTCCTTGGCTCCTTCTATAATACTGCACCTTCCATAAAGCACATGGGGAGGGGGATTTCCCTATTATTAGTAACAAAGAAGAAAGAAGAAACCCTAGATTTACAGTGAATCTGCAGAGGTGCTGAGACCATCCTCACCAAGGTGTCTTACCTATAGTGGAAGATAAATATTTCTGCGAGTAGAACTTTGGTGGTTTTTGGCTGTCTGCTTTTATATAGAATGAACACATCTGAAGTGTGCTCTATATTATCTCATGGCAATTGCTAATGGAATGAAGGCAGGTTGGTTACTGGAAAGAAAAGATCTGGAGTAGGGATGG